CACGTTATAACTGCGTAAAGCTTGCATGTTTTCTACACACTTCAAATGGCCTTTGATCCATTTCTCCAGGATGTGTGCTCATTATTTCTCACACATCCCAAGTGCTCAGATCGTGTCTCAATAGGCTGTACATCTTGTTACATTTTCAATAAAAGTTTTCAATCAATCAATCATTTTCATTATACTCTTTATTTTGGACTGAGAACAATGTCCCTGGGAGAGTCGCTTAAGTTTGGGTCCAAATACACAATCCTACACCACCCATTATGCAATGAAAGATGGTTAACGACAGTGTGTATTAAACCCAGGACCAGTTTGAGTCGCTAAAATAGACTTTGGTATGTAAAATAAGTGGAATGATCATTTAATATTAACACTCAAGCACCAAAACAGCTGTACAAAGAGCTCTAAAGACCTGGTATTAATCTTCATGGACGCCATGTTGGCCACCATCGCGTTGTGGTCCACAAACCAGCTCTTTCTTTCCATCCCCCTCACTCCCTTGGAGAGCTGGCTGCGATTAACAGTCCGTGCAGCCTAGATAGGGTATACCTAGAAAACCAGCAGGCACTCACATTACAATGCCTTTGGGGGGGGGTTAGCGTCCGCTGCTAACTAGCACAGTTTCTCTGCACTGTGGCCAATTCCAGACGACAAGCCCAGTGACCGAGACAAAGGGCGGCATGTTACAGGGAGCCATGACGGCCGATGCTCAAAAAAGGGCCAAGCAGCTACACGGAGGGACTAAAGAGTCACCGGGGTTTAGGGAAGGGATTTTCCAAGTTTGTTCCCCTTTACTACTGTTCACCAGAGGAAAAGCCTGTGGCTGGATGCTTGGCACTGCACGTATACGAGTGCACGCATAGGAAGGAAGAAATACACAAACGCAGGGAGCAGCAATTACTCTTTGAAGGGCTGCGAGTTTTATGCACCTTTGACTTGGAACGTCCGGTCATGATCATCAGCTTCCCTACAGTCAAAGTTTAAAGTGAATGTCCGAGAATACCGGTCGAATGAACAGTGGACATACGATAAACCCCCCCTCATCCTTAAAACACACACACACACACTGAGGGCTGAAGCTGGCGGGTCCGGCCACGCAAACTAAGTCCGGCTGCTTGACTGTCACTAGGTAGCAGCCGGAGCTGCTCCACCCTCGTGCCCACTGCCAACGGAGCAACGCCAGCGCCGCCTGCTCGTCACGCTGGACGAAGCGTGGGGGTGACGCACCGCCAGATACGATCGTTTTATTTCATACCGCTCAATGTTGTTGCATGATGTCATACCAAGCATGCTGCCAAATAATTTTAAAAAAAGATAGTAAAAAGCAGTAAGACTACAAACTAGCTCAAAAAAGGTTTTCATCCTCCATAACGGATCCCAGCAGAAGGAGACAAAGGGGCCGCTTCGTGCCGGCATACTTGTTCCAGGTTGCAAGTGTCCAATGAAAGGCCGTGCGGGGCACCCATCTGGCAAGAGAGGCAGATCTGCTTCAACCCCTCTCCCTCCACCTCTTCACCTCCCCCCGTGCTTCTCTCCTCTCCTTCCCAACACTCTGGGTTTGACTGTGAGCCTGCAGCTCCTGTGTGCCGGCTGAGGTCACCGAGGCTTTCGCTGCCAAGCTCTCTCAACGACTGAATAAGCCTTTCTAAGAGCTACGGTCCCCCAAGCGCCCCCCCTTAGTGTGAAAAGAGGGTCACACAGACAGCTTGGCCCGAGGTACCACAAACAGAATCTCTCGCAGGGTGAGCCGGGTCTACCCCATTATTTTCTTTCATAATTTTATTCCCACTGATCGCCGGCTTGTTTTGTTTGCTTGTTTCGTGACATCCAGGCAAACAAGCGTGAGTGAATTCTACTAATTCTACTACCACACACACACACACACACACACACACACACACACAAAGCGGCACAATGTCACCATTGGATTGATGCAGAAGTCACCTATAATCTCTGTATCAACCGTTCCTTTGTAAATTTATTAACCATTTTACGTTTAACTAATTTATCTTATTTTGAGGAAACTCGTTTTAGAGTTATGGTTAAATATCCGAATATACACTATTCCACCTTGGGCAGTTTTTTGTGAAACGTGATAAAGTCAGGTAAAATGTAGTGATTTAAGCCCCCCCCCGAGACCGGAGAGGTTGAACAGAGTGCTGGAGATCATAAAGTTTGGCCCGGCTGAGACGGGGTGGAGGTTGTGGACAATACCACCATTGAGGCCTTTTCAGGTTTGTCCTGCCTTGGCGTCCCCGCCCTCAGAGACACAAACCCACAGGTATTCCCTGGTTCAGAGGCATATTTCCCTTCAAACGAATCAATGGAAACAGCCTACGTAGTGAAAAAACAAAAATCCTATTTGGTCTCCACCCATTTCATGGGTGAAGGTAATGAAAGCTCCTTTTCTTCAATGAACTGAACTCACTAAAATGCTCAGATGGTAATACGTGGGGGGTTTGGATCTTAATCCGCCACTTCACAAATCTGTTATTTGTTTCACCTTCAACTGCAGTCCTGTGTGTGTGCGTGTGTGTGTGTGTGTGTGTGTGTGTGAGAAATGTTTGAACTGCGCTGTTGGTTTTTCATGTTCATGTTCAGAGGTGAAGCATTGAGGAACATGAACGAGATTCGTCAGTAATCGACCCAGTTTGTGTTATTTCTGCTCGGCTTAAAGAAGGGAAAAGTTGGCAGCTGTGCCGCCAAACATGTTTTGCCATTTTTTCCCCCCAACGAGCCCAGTTTAAAACCTGCCAAGCATCTCAGCATTCCCACTGAATGACACTGGGAAGGGGGGGGGTATCTCTATTTGAATCGCACCTCCTCCACAGCCAGACAGCGGCATCCTCCCGATCCCACTCAACCTCTGGCGGGAAACATCCTCCCATGGCGGGAAACATCCTCCCATCTCTGGACCCGGTCTGGAATAACACACCTATCGGCGAAGCCAAAGCAGGCCGAAGGTATACGCGTGAACACCGAGTGTGTGAGTGTCTCTGTTACGCAACGGGAGAGTTCTTCCCATCTGTGCCTCTGTGCGGCCCCCGCATCCCTGACCAATGAAGCGAGAAACGACAGCTCTGCCTTGCACTCTGCCTCCCTCGAGTCTTCCTCACAACACCGTCCCGCTCTTCATTATTATTATCATCATCATCATCATCACGCCGCCCACTAAAAACACTCAATATTCATCTTTAGAACATCACCTTCCCCGTCAACGTCACGCTTGTCTGCCCGTCGGCTTAGAGCCCGGCTAGAAAACAAAACCACTCCGCGGGGGTGTCTGGCCCAACATTTTCACTTCTTATACTCAAATTCCAGATTATCCCACTAAACGCACCGCCGGCCCCCTTCCTCCCCCACTCCTCCCCCCCACCCCCGCTCAATCTCTGACCCTGCCCTTCCGGCCCGCCTAACTCCCCACAGGGCTCACTGTCGTGGCAAAGATGTTGAAACAAAGAGAGCAGACAGCGCGGCGATAATCCTAAAACACGGCAGCTGGGGAATTAGCCGGCCATTTGCCGGGGACTCGCTATCCGCCGAACGCGCACAAGCCGAAAAGCTGTCACGAGCCACGAGCATCGCAGCCAATTGCTGAAGCGGTTCGCCTGTACTTGTCATCAGGGAGGGAATGGTTATTAAAAGAAAAGATGTCTTTCCCTCTCAGGACGAAGACGTCTTGACGTGGTTTATCTGGCGATGTGGTTTGATGGTCGCGTCCTGCCTGGAGAACACATTTCGGCTGATTCCACCAGGGACCCCGGTGTCGGTGGTTCCATTCGAATACATGAATTATAGATGTACGGAGACCCGTTTTCTGTTCGGGATATTTAGGCAATGAGCAGCATCGGGTTTCAGACTGTAACGCCAGCCGGGGAGATGACAGCAAAGTCTTGGGTACTGAATCTTACAATGCTTGTATTATTTAGCCTTTTATTTAACCAGGTGTAAGGCTTTACTGTACAGGAGCAGCTGGAACCCGGCCTTTCTGCCTACACACTTCCCCCCCCCCTTGCTGCATCTTTCAGTTTTCTCATTCTGCGTTCTGTTTCTCTCCCTTTCACTATCTATCCGACAACCTTTTCTCCCCTCAACTGTCCCGGCAGCGGAGGGAGCGTTTGATGTCTGGTCCAATGTGGCGCCATTGCCAAATCTGTTACAATACAGTGCACCCTAAAAAATTAAAATAAAAGACCCCAGGAAAAATATGCACGACTGCAGCGAACAGCACCTTGGGTAAACAACACTCAACGACTAGAAATCATGTCAAATATTTGAACTGCCGGAGCCGTGTTTGGCTTGCGATGGAAACTAACTGCAGGAATGATTGAGACACGCTGCACTGTTTTCGGGTTCTCAACTGCAAAGTCTGCTCTGGGCTGCACAGCTTTCTGCTTTTTACATTTTTTTTATTACAGTTGCCATGGCACAGCGGCTGCGACTGAGGGGTTAGAGATACGGTACATAATTGTTTGGAGACTGGATTTCTTTTGTCCTGCTCTGCAATAAAAGCACGTAAGGGAAAACCCTTTTGGCTTGGAGGCTCGGGGAATCGTCCTCTAGTCAATTACGTTTCAGACACAGAGAGACCGACGGACACCTGTGAATTGAATTTCATGCAAGGAGTCGTCTGAGAAAGGCAAGATTTCAACCCAGACGGACCACATTTATTGTTCACCCAACCGACTGGCTTCCAGGAACAAGCAGAAGTGGATCTTTTAATCTCCCACGCAGGCCCGTCCAAAGAGCACACACACACTATCAATCACGTCATCGTTTGGCTGCTTTGTGGCCGGGAGAGGAAACGCCGTACAGCGCTTAAGAGGAGGCTAAATATGCAAAAGAACAGGTGCCAAAACGTGACTAAATTACATTCATTTCAAGCCATTCAGTTTTTCATTCCTACACACGAAACCAGACATACTCGCTTTCTCTCTGGAGTCCAGCCCACCTGCTTTCCATCACAACAATGATTAGATACGGCGGCCACCACTCACCTAGGTGGTCTCCATGGAAACTGTTGTCATGGGACGTTCTACCGTGAGGCACGAGGTCATGATGGGCACCAGGTGGCCAGATTTGACCGGTCTTGCGAACGCTCACAATAGTGGCTTCAGACATGACCACGTGGCCTCCCTGCTGCCGGTGCTGCCGCTTCTGGGACTGAGGCGTCGGAGGGCTGCTGCTGTCGAAGGAGTGCTGGGAGTTCTGGGAGTTTTGGGACGGCGAGCGGCTCTTCTCTCTAAAGGGCCGGCGGAAGGCCGTGGTGGGACTGGGCGAGACGTGGCTGGACTGTCCCGAGGAGAAGTCCTCCTCGCTAGACGTCAGGTTCTCGTTGGAGCTGCAGTCCGGCGTGTAGCCGCCGCCTCCACCGACATCCTCAAAGCTCCCGGGGGAGTAGGAACGGCGCGGCCAGGTCAGCAGGTGGTCGTCACCTCCTCCGAGTTCTCTCATTGTGACTCCGCCACCACTCCCGCCTCCGACTCTCCCGTCTCCAACGCCACCTTCGCCCATCATCACCCCGCCGACATAGACGCTGGAGTAGGCCTGGAACTCCGAGGGCTGCCATGGAGGGGGTGGAGGTTTGCCCCCGTTGGCCCGCCCTGCGTGTCGCTGGTTGGGTTCCCCGTCTTCGTACTCGGCGTCATAGCCGCAGGTGCTCTCAGTGGAACGGCCTCTGTACACCGGCCTGGCGCGGAGCTCCCCTGCCGCCGTTGCCAGGTTACCGGGGAGAGAGTGGAGGGATCTCTTTCGCTCCATCTGCATGGCCTGGGTGCCCAGTGAGCTGATCTTGTCGGAAACGTCGCGGTCGTTGACCCGGACCAAACCCCTCTCGTGGTGGAATTCCATGTTAGAGTAGAACGGCGGCGGTGGCGGCGGCAGCTGCTGCTGCTGCTGCTTCTCCTGGCCCTTTGCAACATCACCCACAGAGTGAGAGTTGGCCCGTTTGATCCTCTCAAAGTTGGACCGAAGGGCCGCCACGCCGAGGCCCATGCCCAGCTTGTCCTTGGGGTCGGAGGGCAGGTCCTTGTCCGTGGGCGGAACGTTGAGTCTGCGGGGGGAGACGGAGATGCCGCCTCTCTGCTTGGACGGCGAAAGGCCATCCAGGTTGTCACAGGACGTCGACTCGGCCTGCTGCGGCACCTCGAAGGCCGACTCCAGCCCGTCCCCGTGGGAGGCCGACTTCCTGGCCGGCGGGGGTCTGGGTTTGGACCTCCCGGCTCCGTCTCCAAGTGGCTGATAACGGCTCCTCTCCATACTGCCGCCATACACTCCGCCAACTACTCCTACTCCAACTCCGCCAGTCTCCTGCATGTGCGGCTGCTGGGACTGGCACTCGGCGCCCTGCGTGGCGGCGGGATCCATGCCCTCGTTCAGCGGCGTCCTCCTGAAGCCCCACCGCTGCTTGTCATAGCTCTTCCTCTCCTTGGCCAGGAGGGTCTGCAGGTATATCATGCGGAAGCGCTCCTTGTTCACCTCCTGCTCCAGGCGCCGGATGGAAGCTTTGCACTTCTCCAGCTCCTGCTCGATACCCCCGACCGATCGCAGCTCCATTCTGGGGGGCTCGGACTCTGGGAATTGCGCTTTCCACGCCTCGGTAAATCCCACCGGCTCCACCATACTGTGCCTAATTTATTCCTGCAACCGGCTCACACACACAGACACACACACACACACACGGGATGAATGAAGCCAAGGGCTTTTGTCCTTTGAGGGCCCGGTTGGGGACAACAATGGTCTGACCCGCGGTCAGAGAGCAGGGACCGCGTTTGGACACGGGCCTTCAGGTGAGCCGCTCAGAGACACACCGCGCGAGTGCTGACGCTCGTCGTGCGCTGCGCAGATGCGACGACGCATCCCAATGTGAACCAGAGGAACCGGCCGGTCGGGCAGAGGGACGGCTGGGGACGTGCGCGGGGTCAGGGGGAATAAAAAGCGGCGCTCTCATGCGGCTTTTCCTCATCCGTGAATTATTCCAGAAAGGGACCCTTTAAAAAAAAAGGGTTTTTTTTCCCCCAAAAAAATCTCAGCCTTGACACAATGACATTGTCTGTCCTCGCGCATGGGGGGGAAGGAGGGGGTGACAATGGTGTCTAGAAGAATGAGAAAGTGCTTTTAATCCCGCTGAGGGTTTACTCACTGCCCGTGTCTGGCATTGCGCGTTTGTCCGTGAAAGTGGGTCCGTTCACAGCTCCTCCATTCCTGCGGCAGCGATCCCAGGTGCCGCTGCTGCTCCGGACCGAGCGCCTTTGTATCAGCGGCGCTCCGAGAGAAAGGAGAAAAAGCGCAAAACGCGAGCGGCCACCACATCGGAGTTTTCTCAGACAACGCGAGCAAGCGGTGAGATCCGGTTGAAGCAAATCAACTGTTCCGTTAACCCCATTTTTTTTATATTAATTGTCCCCACCCCTCCGCTGCCAACCGTACCTGCGTAGTGTTGCGTTTGCTCGCTTCTCTTCCAGGTTTATCCCGTTTCTCCGGGCGCGATGGTGCCGCTGTGCGCGCTCCCATCAGCAGGCCAGCAGCACTGGAGGGCTGCGGGAGTGGGCGGGGCCAGATTTAAAGCGACAGCGCAGGTCCTCCCTTCACGCCGGCGTGGGTCCAGATGCGTGTCTGCACCACCACGTGTAACGGGTTTGTCATGGGTGGGAAAAGAAGAGTATACGCGTGTTTTTCTTCGCGACCACCTATAGGCGTTGCTTAGTTGCTTTTTTTATTTTTATTTTACTGCGTGATTGCTGGTTCGTGGGGTCTCCCACTCAGCTATGAAGCTTAAGCGGCCACTTACCCTAATATTCCTCTTCCATTTTATTGACCTTTCAATAAAAATGTTTTCAGGATATGATTCTACAGCTTCTTCTTGTAAAAACTAACGGCTGTACCTGTCATGCAGGTGGAGTGCTGTGACTTGGATATCTTTAACCCAACGATGCCCCCCAGTGGAGTAATGCCATCTTTTGTCTCTTACTAGTTCAGCAGTAACACTGGCTTTACTATGTTGATACCATGGTTACACAGGGGGAAAAAGAAAAGAAAACACATTCCAAGTGTAGAACTTTCCTAGAATATTAAAAGTGTTTGTGTATTAATCAGAAGAACATATTCACTACACAACAATGCAAAAGGCCACAATTCAAATACTATTTTTTTTTAATTTATTTACCTGAAACCAAAACCCCAGTTATGCATGTACAACCATTATTAGTCATCAATACCGATCATTTATTACATGTTATTGTTCTTCAATCAGGTGTTGCTGAGGGGGGCCAGCATTGGGCCTCCTCACATTGGATCACAGTTTTACAGCAGTTGATATAGATATATAACAATAATAATGCAAAGACAAAAATGACAACACTGTTGTATTGCAGGACTACCAATGAATCAAAGTGTCGGTTTCCCTCTTCGCTAGAAAGTAAATGGATCGCTGATCGGCCCACAGTAGTTGTCAAAGAGTAAAAATTAAAGTAAAAAAAAAAAGTAAGTAGAGCAGTCAAGTTCAGCATGAGTCATCTCTCCATGTCTAATTTTGTGCAAATTACTCAAACCGTTACATTAAAAACAGTGGTTTACATATCTATGATATATCCCCGTTAAAAACATCTATATGTCATTTAAGTATTATACATTAGAATCTATAAATACAAATTGCAAAGCCTACATACAGCTGGAATGCATGCATGAATGTTCTGTACACTAATGTACAGCTAAGACCATTCTACCCAGTTGTTAAAGATGAAAGACTCTACGCGGACAGGCTACCATGGAAGTCGGAAACAAGATCTTCATGCAAGAAGGAACGTTGAGGGTGTTGAAAACTTTCCCTGCACACAAAACTGGAATATTGTCACATAGATAAAGCATCTGCACACAGAGGTATACGTCTGTTAAAAGGTGTCTTAGTGGCACACGGGTCAAAAGGGAAGTGTATTTCCAACCCAACCACTTTTAATTTCACCCTTTTGTATTTGGCCTTTACCATTGCTGTGGAAACGTGCCCCCGCCACTTATTTTCCTTTTGTCTGTGCGAGGGTACACTCACTGCTGGTCATCATGGTATCTGGAGGTGTGAAGTTATGAGTGGGCACACATGCTGCACAGTAGACAACTGCAGCCTCGGAGCCCCCTCTTTAAAATTTGCGGCGCTTTTATGAAAGCAAACCTAAAAGAAAAAGGGAGAGGGGAAAAAACTTAGTACAGAACACTAAAAGCAGTTTACAGTTATCCTTTGTTTGTTTTTTGGTGGGTGGAGGAGATTACAGGCAAGTGGCAAGTGAAAAGAACAGCACAGTGACATTCACAATAGCAAACACAATTAACTTCCAACACCTAATCACTTTATATTTGTATGGGGCCGCAACACATCTCCTTCAAATGGGAAAGTCACATTTAACAACTCGTTTCAGTGAGAAAAATGTCCAGAAAGGCTTCTCCATCCAACGGTTAGAGCTTCCTCTGGGTTCCGTTAGATTCTAATGAAATGATTTGGTATTTAGTAGAGTTTGAACAAAGCAAATGGATACTCACTCTAGTGACAGGGGAGCCGATGGAAGGCATTGAGGAAGAAAAACACACAGTTGTTGTTGTTAAGTGGAACACAAACACACAACACAAACAGGCCCAGGCTTCTACCCCGAAAACATGCTGTCGATTTCTAACTTCACACGAAAAAAGCTCAATGGGTCCGAGACCAGCAGAGTTGACGTCATGGACTCCCTTTGGACATATGACGAGTCCAGCACAAACCAAGAGCTCCAACTATTAAAGCCCAAAGGAGTCAAATGTGCACTAGATCGCTCGTGTGCGTCACGTTGGGAAGAGGACGCCAGAGCATTTGTGTGTCAGATGATTTGTATTCAAGTGTTATACGCACATAGGAAAGAAACGTTGGGTTTGAGTAATCTTCATATCCAGCGGCATTAATCATATTAAAAAAAGACAGAAAGCGTTTTGATTCAAAGGGTTTATGAGTGTATTTTCTTTGGAAGTAAAAAAACAAAAACATTTTGGGCTCTTATTTGCAATCCAAATGCATTTGGAGTACGCTTTGCATTGGTATTTCTTTTTCAGGATTTTATTATAACGGTCCTTTGAATCAAACGACATGGAGATGGTAATGAACATACATCCTACCCGCTTAGTTCTTTCTCCAAAGCAAAACACAAATAAAGTCAATGAAATTCAATAATCAATACAAACAAAATATATCCTTAGAAATATTAGAGAAAAGGAATACTTTGTTCTCGTTTTCTGCACATGTAAATAGGGGCACACCTCAGATGTTACGCTTTAGCAAGAACGTTCAGGAAACTTATCCAGAGATGAGGAAAAAATTGATTTTTTTTTTTTAATCATATTGAGGTAGCTGTGCTCTGCCCAGTGCAGAAAAACTGGTTTGTTTTCAAATCATTATAGTAAAAAAACAAAAACATCCATGAAGTGAATGTATACTCAAGAAAAGGGGGGAGGGACAATCACAATTAAATTAGCAATGAGAAACCACACACAGTTCATGCTTGGTCACAGGACATGCGGCTTTTGTTTAGATATTTTTTGTGTTTGTGTTTGTTTAACGCAAACGCTCACTCCCAAACCTTTCCCCGTCCTCGTCCGCCACACGGAGCACGTCCTCTCTGAAATAAGTTTATACTAAAGACACAATGGTTAACATGAAAAAAAATAAATGAAGGCGGTGTCTCTAAGCCACACTGGTCAAACAATTGACGAAGCCATTTAAAAAATAAGAGACGAAGTTGCATAAAATTCAATCTCTGCACAGATCAATGGGTTTCTGATCTCTTAATGATCTGATCGTGAAGCAGGAAGCTAAACCAAAGAATTTGCCGTTGTTAGCGTTGTGACATGACAACTGATGTTCCCAAAACTATAAACCTTGAAGGCAATATCGACAATAATAATTAAATAAAAATAACTGGCAACAGTATATTTCCTTTCATACCCACAAGAAAGTCCACAGTTACGGGAGTGACGACCTTCTAAACCTCACTCGTTAAAAAAAATCTGATTCAAACTCAAAACAGGTGACTTCTCAATGCTGACATTTCATATCATTTGTTCAATTCATGTGTTGGTCCTTCTTGTACACGCGCACACACACACACACGCGGTAGGCACGCACAAGTACACACACTAACTCTACGACCACGCACACTCGCAAGCTACGCACACAAAGGAAAGGAAGAGGGGGAAGAAGGAGAGGACAGAGGGAGGTGATGGCGGTGGGGGGGGGGGGGGGAGTGGGGGGATGTTGTGCTCAAGTCAGTCAGGACCAGAACATGTCGGCCATGTTAGTGTCGGTGCTGTAGATCCAGAGGACCAGGGGGAGGGACACGGCCACGAAGGGCCAGGAGACGCCCTCCATGCATGCAGACAGGCGGCAGCCTTTGCTGCCGTCGGGCTTCTCCAGTTGTTTACCGGGCTCCAGGTAGTTCCTGGAGGCAAACTTTAGGATCTCGTCTAGTAGAATGACAGGCAGGGACATCTTGAGCACCATCAGCCACTGCGTCAGATTTAGCGGGGTGATCTGGAAGATGATCTGAGGGCGACACAAAGGCACACGGTTCGGTTTGGAGAGACGGCAGAAAGTGAAACACTCGTGTCGGTGCTCGGCTCGCAGCATCGAGCATCGATACTATTTTTTTTAACTCAAAAGAATGGGCTCTCACTGGGAGGGGCTCCACATAGAGGATCAGGAAGTGAAGGGACATGGAGAGGCAGATCGCCCCCAGCAGCCACACGTTCTCCCAGGGAGGCATCCTCAGCAGGGACTGGTTCTCCGACACGCTGAGCAAAGAGGACAAATGGATGGCTTCGTTAAAAAATGGAGCCGGTGCGAATACTGCACTGTAGGTTCATTCAGCCATATAAAAAAAGCATAGGGTCTGTGTGTGAAAGTATAAATGGATATAAAAGACAGAATGTTGCAGCACAGGCATTGAAAAAGACCAGTAACAACAGTGAGCCTTGGAGAAAACAATGAAAAATGTTTAGATTTGAAAGTAATTGGTTACATTGAGCATTATCAGTGAGTTGCCATTGACTATTGGTAATAATAGTTGGGAGGATGCTTTGCTCAAACTAACCTGTTTAGGGCATTGCACATCTCAATGGTGACCAGCACAGACAAGGCCATGGTCATCGGGTAAGGGGACTCAAACACCTTACAGTCCAGGTCCGTGAAGTCGGGGTTCTCTGGGCCACACTGCAGGAAGTGTCTCTGTGAGCAATAGGAGGAAGAAAAAAGAAAAGCATTTAAGCCAAAGTCAGACTCAATAAAGTTTGTGTTGAAACGTACATCTTTAGCGTTGTAGTAGTCATTTTAATTCCTACCAGCTGGTAGAACGTGATCCTCGGACCATCCTCAGCAGCAACAAACCACCAGGAAGCGGCACCGACAGTAGCAGCACCAACGTAACCTGGCGATGAAGCGGCAAAGATATCATTCACATGCACTAATGCTGCAGATAAATGCTGACGGAAACGCTACAGGAACCGCAGCCACTTACATCCGATGGCGAGGTATCTGAAGAAGAGCCACCCGGAGATGAGGGGCTCGCGGGCGTTGCGCGGCGGCTTGCTCATGATGTCCAGGTCCGGTGGGTTGAAGCCCAAAGCGGTGGCCGGCAAACCGTCCGTCACCAGGTTAACCCACAGCAGCTGGACGGGGATGAGGGCTTCGGGGAACCCCAGGGCCGCAGTCAGGAAGATGCTACACGCCAAAGCAAAACGATTGAAGACACCGTGAGATGTTACGGTATAATGTGTGTGGCGTTTCACGCTGGTGTATAAAGCCGGCCCTCCTTACCAGACAACTTCGCCCACATTGGAGGAGATGAGGTATCTGATGAACTGTTTCATGTTGTTATAAATGGCTCTGCCTTCCTCGACCGCAGCGACAATGGTGGAAAAGTTGTCGTCGGCCAGCACCATCTCCGAGGCGCTCTTGGCCACAGCTGTGCCCGAGCCCATGGCGATGCCGATTTCAGCCTTCTTCAGAGCGGGGGCGTCGTTCACTCCGTCACCAGTCTGATTAGTAAGTAGATAATCGTTCATACAGCCCTCACGCCGTACATGCTCATAAAGGATTGGAAAAATCATCAAACAACCTCTCCATTTTTACGTCTTATTTCCTCTAAACTAGGGTCAACAAAACCCTTTATGATCGGTTTTAGCAGTGCTAAAGAAAAGTCTGTTTCCATACGTTCCATCAGCGTCCCTTCTTACCATCGCTGTGATCTCATCATAGGACTGCAGGTACTCGATGATCTTTGATTTATGCGAAGGCTCAACGCGCGCATAGCAGCGGGCCTTGACCACAGCGTCTCTTTGCGCAGCGGGCGACAGATCATCAAACTCTCGGCCTGTGAACGCCATGCTGGAAACATCGTCATTCTCTCCGAAAATCCCAATGCGCCTGCAGATCGCCACGGCCGTCCCTGCGATACGAAAGAGAGCACATTGACTTCTTGCGGTCTCCTGGAAAAGGGAACGCATGCAAGTTTGCAGAACTCTGGGCGATCACATTACGTGTGTGTGCGCAGCAGTCAAACGTTAGAATCAGCATTTTTTTTAAAGGTGTTGAAATGAGTGAGAGAGTCAAATGTTTTCGCTAAACGAGACTCTCTACGTACCCTTGTTGTCTCCAGTGATCATGATCACTCGGATGCCTGCAAGGCGGCAGAGTCTAATGGAGGCCGCCACCTCTGCCCTGGGAGGATCCAGCATGCCCACACAGCCAACAAATGTCAGATCAGTCTGGATGATGGAAGAAAAGAATAGATGCAACGCGGTCATCATTTCGCTTACAACCAACAACGTCCCAACCTGAAGAGGAACCAAGACACTAAAAGTGACACAAGACCTCGCGGTGGAGAACTGCACGGCATTAATCTGTCCAGGCCCTCACCTCATATTCAACGAAGCGGGCGCTGTCCTCCAACTTCAGCTCCTCTTTGACCATGCGGTGGTCTCGGGTGGCGAGAGCCAGACAGCGCAGCGTGTCCCTGCCAGTTCCATATTCCCTGATCACAGACATCAGTTTCTCCTTGATGCCGGGGGTCATGGGCACCTTGGTACTGCCCAGACGGACGTGTGTGCACCTGTCAATCACTCCCTCCGGGGCACCCTGTGAGAAGGCATTGACGGGAGTGAGAATACTGAGGAAAGTGTCGGCGAGACTCAATCATGGAAGATTGAAATCCTAATAGTGATCCATAATTTGTCAATTTCATACCTTAACGAACATCTTGCCAACTGAGGACCGGGCCTTGTTAGCGGTGCAGTACACAGACATGGACTTCCTGTCTCTGGAAAATTCCAAAGTAAACTCTTTCTTCATCAGCTGCTTGATCACCTAAAGATTAGATTAAAACGCAATTGCAGTTGGTTTGTTTTATCTTATTTGATTTATCATCTAATGACTTTGAAGAACAGACGGCTACATACTGAATTACAGGCGTTGGCTCTTTCGATCTTGGACAGGCCTTTAACATCCGTATCAAACACGTTCATCTTCTCCACCAGGCATGTGAGAGCCGTCTCTGTGGCTTCACCCACCTTCTCAAACACACCTTTGGTCTGGACACACACACACACACAAGCAGAGAAGCATACAGTCAGTCCTCATCTGAAACGTTGCACAAACCATGTAAGCCATCGTCAACAGTGCCGCATGGGCACTCAAGGATCATGTGCAGGTTAACGTGCAAAAACATTCAATACCGACCTCGTTAAAGTCCAATGAGGAATCATTACAGAGAGCACAGATAGAGGCCAGCTCCACCAAAGCATCGTACTGGGAACATTTGACTGGCTTGCCTTGATGGAACCTGAAGAAAACAAAGATGTAAACAGTAAGCAACCACTAAGCCAACTGTGTAGTTCTCATAAAAAAATTAAAAAAATAAAAATTAAGAAAATGTTATACTGTAGCTTTGTAGTGCAATTGTGTATTATTCCTGCATATTTTTCATATTGTACAGCACAGGCATGGGACATGTAATACTCACACTTCTCCATCGGGGGCATATGTGGAGCCGGTAATAGTGAAGTCCTTTAATGAACAATGATTGCCCTCTGCCTGATCAATGATAAACATCTAGAAACACAAACATTGTAGAGACATCGTATTAGCACACTCACACATGACCTCTGTCCACCAAATGAGTTTCTGCAAGAATATTCCATCCATTCCACTATATATTTAGGTCTAAATGCCAAAAATAAATGATGAACAGAAAAATAAGCCGATTGTGACGAACGCTGCATCCAGCAGGTGGCAGAAGACGACCATTCATGGGAAAGCACCTCTCATATCATGAGTCTGATGGAGTACAGTAATAATGTAATGCAGAGACATAGCAGACAGAGTGCTATGGTGGGAAGGGGCCATAAATGTCATCTTACAGAAAGGCAGACACTGAATTCCTCTCTGTGCAGTCACACTGCATAGAAACGGTTTATAAATGGGAGCCACTCTAAGGCGGAAATAGTTTGACCTTGAGTATCCAAAAACCTTCATTTAAGGACGCTGGTTTATATTCAGAAAATGAATTCAAGGTTTTTCCATTAAAAGTGCAAAGGAATAGATGCCACTCAAACTGTTTCAACATGACGACATGGGCGTGCGTTCACCCGACACACACGGCATCTGCCCAAAATTGAGAAGAGCGGGTCGAAAATTGAATGGATGAAGATAGAAACATCTGATTAAAATGAGGAGCTGAAATCGTGGCAGCGCTACCCGTAAGGCTTCAGTCAGATTTTTTTTAAAAAGCGAAAAGCAGGGATCTGAGAGGAAGAGCTCAACCGAACACAGAGCAAATAAGGAATTGAATTGAGAAAAATCAACTCAGCGCTTACTGCGCTGTTTGGACACAGGAGGTTTGGATGAGTCAAGCACAGTCAGTGACTTTCAAATAACCAGGAATAGCGTTCTTGGCTTTTCCAAAAAATGCTAAACATGAAATCAACTTGCAAATTGTGCAGGATGAGCAAGAGAAGAGGGAAGGAGGGGGGGGGGGGGGGGTCTTTCAACACAAGGTCAGTTATGCAACTCTACGGCTGGTTCTGCTGCAAATGTCTAACCACTGCATACTGATCAGCGTGTTGGAGGAGGAGGGAAGAAAGAGAATAGCACGAAGAAAGATGGAGAGGGAAACAAAGTAAAAAAAACAACAACAGATAAGTAGATAATAGTTAATAAAGCCCTCATGCTGTACATGGACCATTTTTAACTCTTATTTCCTAGACCCCCTTGCATGTCCCTTGCGTCGCTTTTCACAACTCCTTGCGTGTGTCGAGCCATTTTTTTAGGCTTGCGTCACTTTTGACGCAAGCAACGCGAGCCTCCCGCAGCGCACCAGGCTGCGATTGGTCCGCTAACTACGTCCTTTACGGAGTCTCACATTTCCGCTTTCATAGCCCGATAACGCCATTATTAAAACGAAGAATGTTTACGAGAGGACGGATCAGATTTAAGGAATTTTGTCGGAAGAAATGCGTAAATATGAGCGCTTATACAAGCCGTCATTGGCGGGTTGCAGAAGCGGGTTGGATTCACGGAGGGAGATCGGCGCAAACGCCGGTCGAGAGGTGCACAAAGTTGTGGAGGAAAATACGGGGCAAATGTGTCTGCGATGAAAAGCCGCAGTGCCGATGCACGGGGCAATAAAGTCTATGATAAATAAATAAATAGACGTGACTCTCTAGGTCGTCTTCAACAAAAACACGTTACTCCGCCTGTTGTTCTGGAGGTGAATTGCTCTGCAACACACGCAGAACCATGAATTGAAACGAGTGCATCGACGCAGACGCATGCGCCGGCCTTTAGTTCTAAAGAAAAAATGGTCTTAGATGTCAGGAAAATGGCCAGCCCTCGCTAGTTTTACGTAACGCATACGATTTCAAATTGTACTTATTCTCAGATTTTGCAAGGGTTGCCCCCCTTCCAAAACACATTTCATAAAAATAAAAAAAATCACTCTATACTTCTAGATTGTGGTGTGTGTTTAAGTCACATGGCTGAATACAGGAAATGTTCAATAAAAACACAACCCAGCTCTTGCCACGGTTCACTCGCTCTCTCTCTCTCTTACCCTGCACACGGACATCTGATTGGTGGTGAGCGTGCCGGTCTTGTCAGAGCAGATGACAGATGTGCAGCCGAGGGTCTCCACAGACGGCAAACTGCGGACAATGGCATTCTTCTTGGCCATGCGGCGCGTTCCCAGAGCTAGGCAGGTCGTGATGACAGCAGGCAGACCTGGTGAGAAATAGCAACAGCACCAGAGAGGGGAAAGAGGATTAAGACATATAGGAAAGGAGATAAGTGGTGACAGAGAGAAACAGAGGCATCCATTTCTACCAGTTACTTTGCTCAAGTGATTGATTGCGGCTATAATCAACACGTTTTGGGAAAAACCCATGCAAGCAAAACAGATCTAAACCACTGTTGTGCAGTAGGAATAAACGGCAGAGGAATCTGTTGTGGCATCACATAAGTCAAGGGCGAGGCTTCCTGAGTGTGGCTCCCTCGCTTACCCTCGGGGATGGCAGCAACCGCCAGCGCCACGGCGATCTTGAAGTAGTAGACGGCACCTCGGATCCAGGAGCCTCCGTGGACGGGATCATTGAAATGTCCGATGTTGATGATCCACACAGCAATGCAGATCAGCGTGATGACCTTAAAGTAGACATTAGTTTAAATGCAAAGATTGTATTGACAGCAACCAATTAACCACAAACAGAAACCGACATTAGAGTTCCGGGGCACAACGTGTGCAATGCAACATTAATGACCTTGGACAGTTGCTGTCCGAACTCATCCAGCTTCTGCTGCAGTGGGGTGCGCTCCTGCTCCGTCGCCGCCATCTCATCTCGGATTTTGCCGATCTCTGTATTGCCGGCCGTGGCCACGACCACACCAACAGCCCTACCAGCTGCAATGTTGGTGCCCTGTAGAGTTGGGTGTGGGGAGGGGGGCAGTTAAAAGCAGAAAAACATTACCCATCAAGCTCCTTGCCAGAGGGCTAAAACTAGTTTGACAACTATTTTGAGACGTGTGTGAGAAAGACACACAGAGGTGGTTCAACACGCAGCAAGTATTTACATGTGGAAAGTCCTGAATACAGTTTGAAAACAGTGGCTGTCGCCATGGAGGCAATGGAGACAATTCATTTTGCGGATGAATAGACCCACGGACATACACGTTTATTTGAAAAGAACCATTTCGTCATTTTGAAAAGTAATACAACACTCAAAGAAATGGGAATGTGAAGCGGAAAGGACAATAAAGACGACGGGTAGGGAGATCACAGCAGAACAAAGTAGACACAGAAAGATAAACGGTCTTGTGGGTCACTCACAGAGAAGAGCATGTTCTTCTTGTCCTGGTTGACAGCACGAGGGTCAGGCACAGGGTCAGTGTGTTTGATCACAGACACAGACTCTCCTGCAGGAGGCGGAAACAAGGGACACAAGTGAGGGAAGCAGTGAGAGCCTCTCTTCACGGGAGAGAAGACAAAGTGTGAGTTGTGATTCTCGGTTGACACTGATGGCAGACGTGTGTGGTTTGCAATCAAAGCAGCACCGCCACGGCCGATCGACCTCCATGTCTGATTTGTGCGTGCCATATCTGTGTGCGTGCCTTTGCATTTCATCATCTGCGTGCTGTTCCGATGGAGGACAAGTGAGAAAAAACGCTGAAACACTAAAATATCCCTGTGGAATTTACTACCAATTAAGGCAGCAGAGGAAGGAGGGCGACTTACGGACTTGACTCACATAAACCACATCCATCAATATCCACTCGGCTTTGCTATTGACTCAACAACCATGACAACGGAGTACTGGGGCCACGTCCAATGAGGACGTTACATGTTCTTGCCCTGGAAATGGTATTATATGTTTGTAAGCTATAAAAAGGGAAACATTCAAAATATCTAATCACGTATAATGTTTCCGAGCACAGGGACACAAACATGAAGAAAGGGTGTTACCTGTGAGGATGGATTGGTCTACCCTCAGCGTTGTCGACTTGATGGAGGTAAGCCTGATGTCTGCAGGCACTTTATCACCGACTGTGGACAGAAACGACACGAGAGACACTTAAGCACCGCTTTACAATTTAAAAGCATCTGTAAAATGGCACGACAACAGGTGGACGGTTACGGTGCACAATACCAGCGACAAATGAGCGGTTGTTCAGATTGATCAAATACGGTACCCAGCGAGAGGACACCTATGAAATGAATTATGTTCCCACGAAAAGGGAAAGCACTTACAGAGATAAGATAAAGCCTTTGAACTAACAAAGGTCGGTCCACACACACATACAGACAGAAGTCTTGTAAACAAAATCAATGCTGTATTGACCCAACGCGAGCTCTTTGGAAGTGATCAAATAATCAAAACTCCAGTTACGTGTTGGAAAGAGGCTGAGGGAAAGCCGTACGTTCACAAGCGTATTAATGTTCCACTCATCTCCTACACAGGACGCAAATAGATTGCTGCTCATTCTTTCCACTGACACAAGGGATCAGCAATCCCCAGAAAAAACCAATGTAAAATGTAAATATACTCCAAATTCCAAACAAGCGTATCCTCTTCAGAGGGCAGATAATTAACATTAAAGCCACTGACGTTTATTAACTTTGCTTAAAAGGGCATCAAAGCGGTTTGACTCCTCTGTAGGATTTCCCATGCAGTCGGGGTCTGATCCGACCAGGAAACAAGTGTTGAGCCGCAGTGGCTTGATTGAGGAGAGAAATAGTATTTAATTAGCGGAACATGTTCGATGTTCAGATGCAGATCTGCTTTAAGTGATATTCTTCTTTAACTGTTCTCATTTCAAAGCCCCTTTAGGACTGGAAGACTAAACAAGCAATATATTACCTGAAACCCAAAAATAAAACCTGCAAGAATGCTCTTAGAATGAATCCGTACAGTGCATTCAAGTCTTAGAACTATTATGTTTCAGTAGATTACTGCACATTTAGAATGTGAGCGATCTTGGGGTCCACAAGTAGCGCCCAGTATCGACTGCTGATATTTTAATGAAATTATTTTAAAAAAAGGCATGATAGAGAAATGCCACCGTTTCCCCGAGGTAAAATATTAACATCAGCTTTAAATGAGCCCGCCCCCCCACACACACACACACACACACACACACACACACACACACACACACACACACACACACACACACACACACCAATAAAAAGCAATGACCCAGATGCTCTTAAGATCTCTCTGTGGACTGAAGAACAGCGTAAACCAACCCCTGGGCGTCTGCGCGGCCATTCGATGTGGAGTGGGGGTTGGGGGGGGGGACAGGAGGGGGGTCAGAAGAGTCCGACAAAACACTGGTCCAAAAATGGGAAAACTATTTTGATCATTTGCAAACATGTGCAGCTGGATTCAGGGGAGAGAAACTTTTTTTCTTTTTAAAAATTTTTTTTAAAGAAAGTTTCAAACAAGGAGAGTCTGCGCCACATCATAGGAGTTAAAATAGAAACAGTGTGATGTCGTCTTTTGTACAAACTGTTCATTCATTCCCACCACTCAGGAGTCGGTTGCAGAATAAGCAGCTCGGGCAGAGACTGACCAGAGTATGTTCTACTCAATACCCAAGGGACCAATAAAACCAAACGTTGCCGCTTGGTTCGAACCGTACCGTAATCCAGAAATCAACATGATTACTGTAAATGCACATGTGGGAACGTAGAGTACCCGGTGAGCGATGGCGCTCATGGTCTGCACTTCCAAATTTGGTCCTCTACTTGACCAGAAGCTTCATCATCGCCTCCTTGACATCAAACCAGATCCCTTTCGGCGGACGAGAGACACTGAGGAAGATCGACGAGCGCGAGGAAAGACAAAGTCGGCCAGGAACGGCAGTCGCTGGAAACATTCGAGACCCAAAGCACCGCGGGACAGTTCCCACGCGCCGTCGCCAATTACAAAAGCTCCTCGGTCAAAGTGTGAAGCGGTCAAACAGGGACCCTGCAGCAAACAGTACGATACACTTTCACTACACCAGGAACAGAACTTTGTAATGGAATACAAATAACTGTAGAATGTAAATACTATTCAAGCAGAGTTGAATAGTTCAACTCCACTGTCACCGGTAAGCAGATACGGATATTTTTCCACAAAATAAATAGTTATTTCGAAATTATTTACAGATTTGGCTGCTCTGCCTCAAAACAGCTGCCTCCACTTAAGCGTGACATCATCTTTCCTTTCATCTTACATCTCATGCTCTTATTTTTGTGGGAGAATGTCCGGCCTCGGGGGGGACCTCTTCCTCCCATGTGAACACAGGAGCATTATCCGTTTGGGCTGTTCCCTAGAGTGAGGGACAAATGGCCGTCTGAATACACTTAAAGTGAAAACAGCCCATCAGCTTGTAGCAATCAAAGAAGCTTTCACATCCTCTCCAGTGTCCCCAGCTTTCCATCCACATCCTAACTAACTAACCACGGTCAAAGGACAAACTCAGCTACAGGATCAGCGTTGCCTCCTGTGATGAGTCAAGAACAAGAACATTTTGCACAAGACAACCGTACGAAACATCATAAAAATGCTTTGGGATTTGAATTATGGAGCATCTGTGCAGGTTACACTACACAGGTCTATTCATCATGGGGGGTCCAGTGACACTTTCGGAGCTTGTATATTTTCTCTTGCAGCCACTGGGGCCGATATTCTCGCACGTAGTCAGTAGCCCTCTGGGACCTTTCATAAGTTCCTCCAGCCTTCAGGGGACTGTTCCAATCTGCTCTCGAAAAAAAAATATATATATATATCAGATCCAACTTCAATATAGACGTGCATCTTTTCCGTATTTAAACAATGAAGGCTTTACAAAGAAACCGGGTGGACACCTGGAATAGACAGTCGGCAGAGGACGAGTACAGCTTACAGCTCTGAGGATGACAATAGACAGACTATCCTATACTCCAAACACAAGAGAAACATGGCCATGTTTGAGTATTTCTCAAATGAGTACCCTTTCTAAAACTGACATCCTATTGGGCCGACAGAGGGGATCTGTCTGACATGTACACATATATACGTCTAACACAAAACCAGAGCACGACTCAGGGGATGAGAAGGAAGGTGGGTAGAAAACGTCCCTCTTTTATTTCTAAAGCGCAGGATGTTGCTGCTACAAGGGTCGAGGCCGTCGCTTTGGCAACAGACTAAGAACCTCTCGTGCACTAAAACAAAAACCGCCAGAGAGTAAAATTGAAGAAAAAAAAAATGAATCTCTGGCAACTTCCGTACATGTGGAGGTGGACGCCTTTGTGTCATTTCAGCCATTCGTCCCTCTCGCATAAGAGTGCTCAGGGCTGCCAAGAAAGATGCCTTTCTCTCGAGAATAAGACTGCCCTTGATTGAGCACAAGTAGCCAGCTTCCACTGCCGTCACAGCGACTGTCTCTCAGTAATTTCAACCTCCACGACTTTATTCTTTTCCTTTATTCTCTACTTGCCGACAGCCTACAAAATCCCCAGTTGAGGCAAATGCGCCTTGGCTCAGCGCTCACTTGTGAGTGCTTTGAGCGGCGCGGTGCGAGAACTGTTAAACAAGTGAGCCAAGGGCCACGCAGACGCATCATGCACACCTTCCAGATGTCTAGCATGCTCAACATCTGGACATTTCGGGGAGCAAAGGCACAGCTTCAGGGGATACCTGGTGGCGCGTGGCCTGCAACAACCGTAACTCTCCCCTATGTGTCGGTGTTTGCTAACATGAGCCATGGTTATTTTTGCACCTAGGTTGTTGGATGTTTGCATTAATAATATTTAAAAAGGTGTGGAAACAAGAACCTGTTTCACTCCAGGGGTGTGTGTGTTTTCAGGACACAACGTAGTTTGGAGACCTCATTGGGAATTCGTCCCAGCGAAGGATCTAGTACGGTGTGATGATGCTCTGTGCTGGTCATTCATATAGTGGGATAAACCAGAACTTATAGACAATTACAAGACGCCCATTTGAGTGTGCCGAGTACAGCAAGCTGGTGTTGTGTGAACTCGGTTAAAAAAATCACCATTACATACCAGAAAATCAAATCAACATATCATCTAAAAGTATTTTCTCTGAGATGAGGCTGCTCTATGCGACCTCTACAGTGAATATCTTAGGAACCGCCACCGATCCATTAGCAGACAGGTGTGTCATCTGGTCCTGTGCCCAGAACGACAAACAACAGCTAACTGTGTGCAATGATACCAAAGTCATGGCGCCGCAGCAAAACAAACTGTTTATGCACCACAGCAAAGCACTGAACTGTGACCACTAGGCAACCGATTTAGGAAAACGTGTCAGAAGGAAATCTTTGCATGCCTGCAAGAGCCCTTGGCATGTCCACTTGGCACACTGGCATGACGCTCAGGAATCCTCACTCCATCGCACTGCGACTCGCTGAGTGAGCTATGGTACTTTGTGTGGACGCTGCGCGACATGTCGATCGACCGTCCTGGTTACTCACGTCGCCCCCAGAGGCCCGCGCAGCAGACGGAGGGCCGCAACCGCTTGCTGCACGCGAGACGGTACTTCAACCGGCCGCAACCGTGTGCATAAAGCATGTCGACGCGCTTGTCCGACTCCCCCTACGGTCCCACTAAAACATTAGAGTTGGCAGGTTGAACGATCTGTCGAAACGATGCCAAGTACCGCGGACACTGTTGAGTTCTTCTCTTGTCACACAAGAAAGGGGCGAGGAGGCCACGGCGGCCTCGGGATTCAGAATCCAATTAGTGCCGCTGTGGTTGCATCGAAATGAATTCAAGTCAATATGAGGATTGTCAAGACAACTACTGTACTTTAGTTGCTCTACTTTAACTAAAATAGATTATTTAAAAGAGTTAATCCACGACCCTTTCTTTTAGCTTTGATAAAAACACCATAAAGAAATCTATAATGTGACTTATTTTACGGTAAGCTCATTAACAAAGACAAGAAGAACGATAAAAGACAGAAAGAGGCCCACCGAGAAACACTAAGCAGTAACAGAACCCAAATGAACAGAAACGAGGAGCAGTGACACGAGAGCCAAAGAAATGTGTTTTCCAATTCAAGTTGAGGTTAGGAAAGAAAGAAATGGTTTTGGGGAACATATTGGGCCTCTGCTCTTGTATTACATAACTGCTTTCCTGACTTATTCAGACATTTTCAAGAGGGATGAACAGGATGAGGGATCAGCTGGATGTGTGCGTGCTTTTAAAGTTCACGTCATAACACTGTCCGTGGTGTTTACAGAGCGGATGAACAATACCATCGGCACATCTCGTACAGTCACTAAAAGCATCAGCGTGCTGAAGTCTTGTTCAGTTCCTTGGTACCTTTTTGATGAAAAAAAAAAGAGCTTCCCAATATATGCTGTACGCCAGAAACTCAGATGAAAAAGAAATGAAGGTGTTTAAATAAGCTCCTGGATGTGCAGTCTGAAAGAAGAGTCGGAAGTGGCAGTGACGCCACTTATGGCGCGCACACTTCAGGTTGGGACACGGCTGGAATAAACAACTCTCCGAGGGATACTTTGGACTTTCTGCCGCGGGGGTGGTGCGAGATGAGCTGCTTATTCTCATTCAGTGCGCGTTACCTACAGCGGACACCAGGCACGAGTCCCGACGCGGGGGCAGAGCAATGTAGCCCGTCGGACAAAGCGAAACATAGGTCAGAAACCTGAAAGACCGACCCGGCTGAAAAGCCAGTGACTGTTTATCTGTACGCTGAATTAAAAATACCGTTACATCTTCCTTTTAACGAGGACCTGAACTGAAACTTCTCCATAATCTTTTCCCAGAAAAGTATTCTAAATATAGCAGAGATTTAAAGTGATATTGATTTGTTGTAGGTGGCTAACATGTGTCTTTCAGCTGCCCACGTCCACAGTTTGCCATCTTAAAAACTTTTCCAAACAGTGAGCATGGCCAGCGTCACACGCAGACTATGGATCAGTACCTGGTGCAACCCCACTTCAAAACAATGCACGTCCCCCCCCCATACCTGCCACTTCCACGATGTCCCCGGGCACAATGTCCCTGGCCTTGATCCGCTGGACACTTTTCCGGTCCTGGCGGTACACCTTGGCAATCTCGGGCTCGTATTCCTTGAGCGCCTCGATGGCATTTTCAGCATTTCGCTCCTGAGCAGTGGAAATGGGGGGGGGGGGGGAGAAATAGGAGGAATAGAAATAAGACTGATGTCTCACACCAACACGGAGCATTTCACAAGAGACAAATGACAGAGACAAAGCGCCGTCTCCGATGTGCCGTTTTAGTTAGAGCACCGTTCTTCAAAAAGGGAGGGATTGGTATCAAAACCCAAAAAAATATACAAAGTGCCCATGATGAGTGATCTTGGATAGAAAGCGGTGCAGCATGACGTTAACACTGGGACACGTTGTATAACAGTGTGGGGGAGAGAAAAATGAAAAGCTTTTTCCTCAGTCAAAAGACGTAAACAATACACCTTAAAACTACCGTTGCATGAAGATTTTCTATTCCAAGCGCATTTTGTGCTTCTCAATTAAACAATCGTCCGTTACCCCAAATTCTCTGCTTTTCTCCTGATCATTCGACTCAGTGCTAACTGGACAGATTGCTCTCAGACTGGACAGTTTCAGCCTTCAGCCTGGCAGCACTCAACGAGACAGGACAGGACAGGACACGCAACCCCAGGCCATTAAGTCTTTTGCAACAAATAGCAACCGCGTCACACGGTCAGGAAAATGATTGCTGTGTTAAGGCGATGGCCTACAGGGTAATGAACGCTTACAACCCCCCAAAGCAATCAAACTCCTTTTGTGTGCAGAGGGGAAACTACCCAGCGCAGCACCAGCAGATGCACCCTCCTGCACCTCTAAATCACTCACGGAGACGTTGTTTACATAAACACAGTCAAACACTCCGCCGCTTACTGTAGCAGCTCCCCATTTACACACAAGCCTCAGCACGACGTTCAACAAGTATTTAATTGAAGGAAAGATCCAGCAGAGACCCACCCAACCTGTCAGGTGGCTTACTTTTTTTTATATCGTTTCTCTGGTGAAATAAAATGAGGAAGAAAAATAGCCTTACTCATGACCTACAGAGAAAGAATTCAGTTAAAATTACATGAAGGTTAAACCCAAAGGTCAGGTAATTGACCTATGGCCACTCTGGAGATGTCTTACTGTCTCCAGGGGGCTTTTATCTAACACTATTATCCAGATGAAAGCCGACTAAGTATGCTTCCATTGTAACGGGCTCCGGGGTAATATGCTGTATAACAAAGGGATAATACGTTTCCCTTCTTGTGTGCAGATGAGCCCAAACCGTGGCCGTCGTCGCTTCCGGCCTGTTATTAAGGTGGATTTTGAGAAGTCAATACTGCTTCTGAAAGGACCAGACACCGTCGATCCTGGTGGGGGGAAAAGCCAACAGAAATAAACAGGTATAAAAATACCTGCTCACAAGCAACATTAAAAATGTTTCCCTCTTCTGAGCGCCCTCCTTCTCAGGAGGACGGGGTCCATGAATGAGGACCAGAAAATTCCGAGGGGGGAGGAAGTGGGGGAGGCCCACGTTTCCACTGTGACAAGAAGAGTTTTCATACACTGAGTTTCCAATCATATGTATTGTATCTTCTGTACGGAATGACAAAATGTATCAATTTAATGTTCAGATAGCGATTTAATGACCGTTTCCCCCCTTCCAAGTTCTACAGCATTAATACTGCAAGACCTCTATGCAGCTTGCTCATTTTCAACACATGGCCAATTGGCCATTTTTTAAATGTTTTAACTCAGTTTGAGGGAGATTTGTAAACGCGAGTTATTTACCTGCCAGACGCCAACAATGGCATTGGCTATGAGAATAAGCAGGATAACAAACGGCTCCACGAAGGCTGTGACGGTTTCTTCTCCCTCTTCAAACCAGGCCAGCACCTAAACGCACAGAACAGAGAAAAATGAATGAACAGTGAGTACAAAGTGTGACAATTTAAGTCCTGACGGAACAACATTAACTTCACACCCAGAAAACAAATAAACAACACCACAGAAATAAAACTTAAACACCTTACTAGTAATTCAAGTTGGGCCAGAAATTCACTTTTACATATTTGGCACAACGATTTTAAGTACATAACAATTTAATTTAATTATTCATAATTACATACCAGCTTCTGCTGGTATTGTTGGGCCAGGAAAGCCATGCGAGATACAGTGTAGTAACCACTTTCTCCTCTTATAGAATCTGTGCCAGGACAAAATGAAAGCGAGTTTTCTACGTCCGACCTTTTTAGGCATGGCCCATCAGTTTCTATTTGTAGCCTAAATAGTGTCAGGCTAAAATAAATGTACATTTATCAGCATGTGCTTTTGTGAATGAGATTGCGGATTGGTACTACAGCTGTTTGATTTAGAAGCTTTGTAACCATAGCTGGCTGTGGTGGCTACGCTTTGGGGAGGCACGATATTCTCAGTATTGGCGATGGCACCAAAAAAAACTGGACATCAAAGTAAGAGAGTTTTGGTATGTTTTCCAAAAACATACCACACAAGCTGGTGAAGTTGCGTAGGTATATCGTCAAAGAAAAAAATAATATAAAATATCAACATTTCTTTTTAATTATGGAATCCGTCATAATTGATGCGTTGACGTAAGAAACGCAGAGATATTGTGATGATAAAGTCGTAGCTGGCACATAACACTATAAAACGGAATCATGAAAAGCATCTGGCTTGTGTCAGCAGACAGATTCTGGGCGCCTTTTCTTTCCACTCGCAACACCATTTTGATCTTAGAACTAACTTGTGATCTGGACTAAAACACAGTCCACCAAAACAGCCAAACTGGTCGCCTTTATGTAGATTTGAGGGTTGAACGAACCCCTTTCAAACAAGGGCCACAGCCTGATCAGATGGTTTTAATCCTACTAATCTTAATACCACACAGGAGAAGGCATAGGACCGGGCTTTGGACAAGTCAAACCGGGGTTTATGCGTTTGTTTTTACGCGCTGAGCTCCATCTGGTCCATTCAACACCGAACAAACCATCTGCACAGCGGACAAAACAAGTGTCATACTTACAAAGGATATGCAGGCGGCAAGTAAAAGGATCCTCACAAGCAAGTCTTCAAACTGTTCAACCACCAGCTCCCAAAGGGATTTACCTTAAAAACAGTCAAAGTGAGAGAAAAAAAAAAACATGAATCAATGTTTCCCTTTCATTAAATGACTCTTGACAAAGCACCAGACGTTATCGATCCACTCACCCTCCTCAGCTGGCAGTTCTGCAGATCATCCCGTCCAGACCGCCGACAAAGGGGAAGATGAAAAGCAGGTGTTTAAATGGCCGTGACGTCACATTAGTGAACTATAACACCCGACCCGTGACTTTGCGCTGCAACGATTGCACAGATAACGGGATCATAACGGACGACGGAGTGTTATTTATTAGCCAGGTGAGCCACAGAAAAAAGGACGCGTGCCAAATATTTCAAAATACAGATCGTGACGTCAACGACCCTCCTGCGCGTTCAGCAGGAGGGTCGCATCGTCACATCGCAGCTGGCGTGACCCGTCTTTTTTTTTTTTTTTTCGTTGTTTCTTCAAGCAAACGGACATTAACAAGCTCCCTTACCGTTCGGTCCGTATCGTTCCCGTTGTTTCTTCACCTCCTCTGAACTCAGACCAGTGCTTTCGTTCACGTTGAAAAAGCTGTAAACTTCTTCGACCGTCTTCGTGTGTCCGTTGTCCATGATGAACGCTTGCGTCGCCCCGGCTGGTCCCAAACCGCAACCTCTCTCCCCTCCTTCTCCTTTTCTCCCCCTTGTTGGTGTCACCACCGGGGACTAACACCAAGTGATTCAACTAGCAGAGCGAGACCCCGCGGTAAGGACCGTCACCGGATAACTAGCTCCAACACGCGGCGGCGAGTCGCGCAGGTGCCCGGCCAAGAGTGCGCGAAATAGCGGCTCCTCCCGAGCTACCGGACAGCTAACAGGCTAACGCGGGCTAACCGGAGGGCTCCTCGGGGTCCGCTGGAGTTCGCCGGGTGTCTCCCGCTGGGTTTCCTGTGAGACCGCGTACTAATAACTCATATCAACCTTGCGGCTTCGGGTCGAGGGTTTAGCAACGCCTTCCTGTTTCCCTACGAATAGACGGCTTAAAAAAACATGTGCCCGTGGTGTTGCAAGCGAGGCTCCCGTTGCTCCGCCGCTGTGCCCGAGTATCGCGGAATCACGCCAGCGTCCTCTTCCGCACCAATCGCGTCTGTCCTCTGCGGCTCTGGCGTGCGTCGAATGCGGCGTTCAGTGTCCGCATGTGGAATCAGCTGATTGGTGGGACACACCGGAAGTCTCCCCTCTGGGCTCCGCCTCCACGGCAGCGGATCTGGGAATGAAGGCGGTAGACGTGACACATGTTTTCAAGAAATTTCCATTTTTCAGCCAAGCTGGATTTTTAGATATAGTATATTCATTGTGGAAATTAGCAATACGATCCTTGAAGGTACTATAGTGTTAATTGAATTATCTCATAATTGCCAGTAGTTTTTGGTGTTTTAATGATAAAAACAAACAAGCTCACACTGTACATCGGAAGGAATCGGAAATGCGTATTCCAAATGCTTGTCTGTTGCATGGGAACAGGAACAAATGTAATCCTTAAAAATCTTTAAATAGAGCGTTATAGCTCATGTGAGAAGCTTTCTGTCTCTTGTAACCTTCAGTATACACTGTTTAGGCCCCTTACTTTAAGACTGATTAACATGTGGTGTTGCAACCAGACTCCTTCTAAATGAACACTAAATCTGTGCAACTATAGTTAGTCATTCACAGTTTTTTTAAATAAAATACCATTAAAAAAAACTAATTTTTAACTAAATGAAAATTCATTTTCTTCCAAACCTCTAAAGTACAAATTCAATATTATATGTTAGTCACCAAATATCCATTTCATTTTCTTAACGCATTATTTTATTGAAAACACGTGCTAAAAATGCACCTGGGTCATAACAGGTAGGGTGGGTAACTAACTTATCCAAAATATGATCAGCTTTTGGAACAATTGTTTTGGGTTACATCTGGTGGTACAAGGAATGTATTGCCGTCCAATCAGATCAAGCTTGTGGCTGTTTTCCTTCAAATAATGACTGTGGCCGCTCGCTCTTGGAGTGCAGGTGAGTGTGAGCTATGCAGAAAGGTTGAGGTCTGTTTGGACAGCTTGCATAGAGGCTCACTGTGAGGCCAGTTCACTCTATTTATGAGTTTGAAGAATTTTTCTTTTTAGTCAGATTTTCTTGTGTTAGACATGACAAAAATCCAGGCTTTCTTGATTTCTGACTCGCTGACTAGTTTGCGAAAGCCCTGCTTCACACAGGGTTTCATGGTCATCAACTAAATGTTGGTCCATCACGTTAAGGGACTATTGTAATTTGAACCTTATACTTGGGGTTATTTTAAGACATCTGGGTGGAGCGTAAATGTACAATTACAACTTGCCAAATGAAAAACATTGTCGCTGTATTCAGTGATTTCACTGCTTTAAATCTTCGATACTCAACACTGACACATGCCCCTTTGGCAACAAGCTATGTAAAGCAGTGATGATTCAACCAAAAGATTCTCCTACGCTGTGCTTTTCAGACAGAAAAGCCTAATCAGCTGCATTACAGCTCTTAAAAGATCACTGTTTCACATAGAGAATCACTAGTGTGCCATAGGTAACCTCAGCATTTTGTTAAAAAATTTGGCACATGCTATGTGAGTTGGGATTGTGTCCAACAGGGCATGTCTATATTTGGCTTTGTGGTTCAAGCAGAAAACTACTTGTTCACCTTATAAGGGGCTGTGAAAAAATGCAAGTGGACATTATAAGGCCATCCCAGGATGAGAAGGATAAATGTTGAGCCTCTTGACAACCACAATCCCTCATTGTAGTGCGGGTCCTTGGGAAAGACCCAAACACCTCGCTGCTGAGGGACGGCTGAACGCCTTTGCAACTAAAACGGTGCCGTTAGCGTTGAATCACGTTCATTAGGGTTTCTTTTCATCAGTCGCTAATGTAAGTCAATATTGAAAAACGTATTTATGTAGATTATGATTTGCATCAAGTGGTTGGTTAATACAAAACACATGTATCAACGCTCAAATTTGTTATTATTGTAGTGATAATCAAAGTGTGGTGATATGAGGAATGGTGAGTAAAAAAATTAACTTGTGGCATTTGAATATACAGTGTATGTTCCAACAAAGCTTGATGACTCCTCCATTCATGGGATATTGCTGCTCTCAAGTGGACATGAGTATAACTACATGTGGATTCATGTCTGAAATATCTGCAAAGGATATTTGTCTGAATGTGTGGTTCTTTTTCTTTAGCCCGCTACTAAATTATTAAACATCATTATAACATTCTAAGCCATCATATTAATGCTCCAGAAGTCAGGCTACGTGCAAAAAATATTCTGAGATTAGTTACTGGCATAGTTCAATTTTAAGATTTTAATTTTCCATATAATTGGATGTAAAAATGTCCATGTAAAAAATGTGGTGTAGAATAAAACGAGCAGTGACAATCGGAATCACGCCAGATAATTACACTGTGTCCGTCGAAAAGTTTGGCTTTTTTATTGTATTGTTTTAGTTTTTTTCTATTCTTTTAAATAAATTACTTGAGTAATCGTATGACGTCAGCAAAAACGAGAACAAGGAGAGTCTCGCGATATTTACCAAAGAGGTCAAAGTTAACATTGGCCATGTGTTTATGTTGCCGCATCTGCTCCGGCACTCTTTGACACCGCTACAGTTTGCGTTATATTTACACAACTTTATGAATTCCGCGATCGAAAGGCAGAGTTGCGTCTTTAAGGGTTCGCTCACGTTTGGTCTACGGAAGTTGTTTGTATCTGAATAGTCTCGTCTCCGCGTTAGCTTCCGCGCTTCGGCTGACGTGCAAAGTCTCCATCCTTTAGCTGGACGATGGCTTAGCGTGACATGTTTAAAATCCGACCGCTGCTGAGTGCCTTAGGTAACAACCGACTGACGTTAGAAAGACGCGGTAAGCAGATCCACTAACAGACAACGCGCCGGCGAACGGGTCCAGTCTGCAAGACGTGGTCGTGTGTGTTTTCCAGTTCCTGTTTCTTGTTAACGTGCCCGTTTTGTGTGTTGTGGTTGCTATAGTTATGTCCCCGAAGTGTGTTACTGCGTCACAATCCCATTTAACCTCGCAGAACACGAGTGTCTATCTGACGGGGGGGGTCGTGTATCGGTGCGTCCTGATCACGGATGGTTTCCTCACCCCTCCACAGGTGACCCTCGCACGTTGCTTTGCATGATGAGCGAAGGACCCAGAAGCGAGGAGACGGCCAAGCTGCTGAAAAGAGCCAATGAGGAAAATGACGACTCTGCTGAGAAGGCTACAAAAAAGTTAAAAGCAGAAGGAGAACTTGTTGAGGATGAAAAGAAATGTCCCAAAAAGAAAGTGGCCCTCCTCGTGGCGTACTCTGGAAAGGGGTACTATGGCATGCAGGTAGCTATTTTAGCTGCTTCTCCTGTCCAAGCACTTAAAAAAATAATATCTTGTTATAAGTGTGTGTGTGGTTTTTTTTTTTCTGTGCTTCAGAGAAATACGGGAACGTCTCAGTTTAGGACCATCGAAGATGAACTTGTCGCTGCACTCATTAAATCGGGTTGCATTCCCGAAAACCATGGCGACGAGATGAAGAAGATGTCCTTCCAAAGATGTGCCAGAACAGACAAGGTATGACTCCGTTATCACAGGAGTACATTTAATTCATAACCAACCAACTGTGTGCCATGTTGTTGATTCTGGGTAATGGGTGGTGGTGTGATATCTGCATCCACCATCATCATTGTTGTTATTGTTGCTTGTTTCAGGGTGTGTCTGCTGCTGGCCAAGTGGTGTCCCTAAAGCTGCGGTTGATCGAAGACACTGTTGAAAAAATCAACGAGCATCTACCACAACAGATCAGAGTGCTCGGTGCGACATTGGTTCTAATAAAATCTACTTTTATTGATTATGAGACGGTGTTAACATTCAGCCATATTGTTCCTTTCCCCCCCCCATCAGGTCTTAAACGTGTGACCCAAGGTTTCAATTCCAAAAACAACTGTGACGCCCGTACATACGCCTACATGCTTCCAACCGTGGCCTTTTCCTCTAAGGACTATGACACTGCCGACACGGCAGCTTTTCGCCTGGAGCCAGAGACGCTTCAGAAGGTAAACAGCCTGTTTTCGCTCTACAAAGGCACCCACAACTTCCACAACTTCACTTCTCAGAAGGCTCCGAGCGACCCCAGTGCCCGCCGCTACATCACAGAGATGTTTTGCGGAGAGCCGTTCATGAACAGCGACACGCAGTTCGCTGTGATCACCGTACGAGGCCAGAGCTTTATGCTGCATCAAATCCGTAAGATGATCGGCCTGGTGATCGCGGTGGCAAAGGGCTACGCCAAGGAGGAAGTGATGGAGCGCAGCTGGGGACAAGATAAGGTGGACGTTCCCAAAGCTCCAGGACTGGGCCTGGTCCTGGAAAGGGTTCACTTTGACCGGTACAACAAGCGGTTCGGAGGCGACGGGCTGCATGAGCGGCTGGATTGGGACCTCGAGGAGGAGGCCATCAAGTCCTTCAAGGAGGCTCACATCTACCCCACTATTGTTATGACGGAGCGCCAGGAGGGCTCCATGGTCAGCTGGATGTCCACACTTCCCATCCATGACTTCGAAGCTACAGCCACAGCTACTGAATCACAAGACAATAAGGAGCAGAAACAGGTATCCGGAAGTGTGATGATATTCACATGAAACGATGATGTTTGGTGTTTTTTAAAAATATTTGGTTCATGTTTGCTCTCCTTTTCCCACAGGACAATGCAGATTTGGGAAATGACTCTGATTAGGTCTCCCTGCAGGCAGAAAGAAGAAAAGTTTTCAGAACAAAATATTCTCTATTTTGTTGGGAATTCCCTTTTTTGTTTTATTGTATCTTCCAAGATTTCCTTTTTTTTTTTAGTGATATATTGTTTCTCTTATAAAAATATTATTAAACAAACAAACAAGACGATAAAATCCTGTGATCTTTATTGTACCCTTAGTTCATAACGTTAATTCGTACCTGGATCGGCTCCACGCCGAAAATTATTTCGGATAGGTTGGGATTTTTTTGCAATGCAATACTCATAGCACCTTGCCTCAACTCCACTTTGAGGTTGGGGAAAAAAGAATCAGCTGTGGGTAATTATAAGGGTTTGTTTGTGAAGTGTATGTTTTGTAATACTTAGTGATCAGTTATTTATTGGGCCCATTCTCCTCAAATTTATAAAGTAAATAAACCCAACCTTTTGATTGTGCTAATTAAAATAACCGTTGGAATGGAATAAGAACTGTATTTTATCACAAATTGTGACAACGCCTTCTATTGTACAGCTGCAGTAGCAGTAAAAATTATTTTACACATTATACAGAATCTGTTTTATTCCTTCATAGCTATAGTAAAGCAAGACAATTTATTGGTGATGTTTCGACGGATGTGTTAAAACAGAACGACTTCACCCTCCCACCACGAGGCGGCGACGCAACAATCGAGTGTTCACGACCAGTGCTGCATTCACTAACCTATGGAAGAAAGTGGAAAGTAGAACTCCCACCTCAAATATATTTGCCGCCCAGCTATGTCTGAAAGTGATCAAAAATCATAAATATGTATGCTATTTGTATATTACGTAAATCTTTACATGTTGATATTCAAGGAACGTTAACATTTTGAATATCACGAACAAAGGCTCCGGAATGGTGTTTCCAGGATGAAAGTAGTTAAGATGACGTATTCCTCAAAGGTAACGTGAACGCAGCACCATCTAGCAATCATGGCGCCTTCCAAAAGACGCAACGTGATTTTGAGGATAACAGCAGAACAAAGCGGAAAAAGGGCTAAAATTGACCTAAATACCAAAGTCAAAGATGTACTCCAGGATAAAAAAAATGCAAACGACGTGTTTGACATCCTCGAGCTCCTTGAGGTAAATAAGCAACTACGTTTACACTGCTATGGGACCCGACTTGAATACATGCTGGTTAGCCGACGTTAGCTTTACCCACAACAAGCTGGATGTTAACGTGCGATACGGTGCACGTGTCTTTCATTCTTTATGTCATTTTGCAGTCGGAAAAAGAGAAAGACGTGGTCAATGCTGTCAATGCCTGCAGCAAATTGTTCAGCACCTTGTTGGAGAAGAAAGATCTTTTTTTGGGCAAACTGCCTACAGGGGAAGAGGAAGAGGCGTTTATTGGTGAGTAACGACACGGGTTAATAATAATAATAATAGTACTTTACAAATGAACGCTAGTTATGAGGTGGGTGTTGTACATCTTACAGGGTTGTTTGTGCTGTAAACCGGACAGGAACGTGGTAACAAACCTTCACTGTGGTTCCAGGTCACACAAATCTGATAGTTTGTGTTTTTTTTATTTCTGTTTCAGGAGGGTTGAGCGCGGAGGAGAAGTACCGGCTGTTCATGCGACAGCGATACAGCAGCTGTGTGGAGATGCTGCTGGAGCACCTCGACCACGAGCTGTACAGCGTGAAGGTGAGGAGACCCCAAGCGTCCATGGAAACACACACACACACTCACTCACTCACTCACTCTCTCTTGGCAAAGAACAATTCTGCTCTTACTGTAACATTTACTATAAAGTCCACTTTAAATCTACTTGGTTCTTACGTGTAAGACCGTGTGGGCGTAAAGTAGTAACCGCTGGTTCTCTTGGGTCACGTAAAACCATAACCCTCTGAATCCAGGAGAGCGCCCTGTGCTGCCTCATGAAGTTCGCTGAAGGAGAAGGACGGCATCCCCTCGAGGACTTGGACTGGAGTGAACACTACAGCTTCCCAAGAGAACTCCTCCAGGTAGGATTTTGGGTCATACAACCGGGTTGTATATACTGGGAATATGAATATACATTAACTGCTCCTTTATGTGACTTTATATATTTCCCAATTTTTTTTTACCAACACAAGAAATGAGGCAGTATTCTTTTTTTTCTTTTTTATCATCCAGCTTTTTTGTCATTAGTGGCACCGTCGCTCTATGACGTTTCTATTATTTCCTCTCCAGGGAGTGGTGGACAGGCTGCTGAGCAGAACAACAGAAAACTCCATGCTGATCTCCAGGTTCCAGGAGTTCCTTGAGATGGAGGACGTACGCTATTACGTCATGAGTTCCATCCGTGAGAATGTGGGCAAAGTCCTGGCCAAAAACAAGGGGGTAGGAGAACCGTTCATGTTTGTCACCTTTGGTGTCACATTGCCTTTTATCTAATAAATGTCCCCTGGTGCGCCGGCGGCTCTCTGCTCGTCCCTCTCAGGCGCTGATTCCTGTATATCAGAACAACGTGTTCTCCCTCATGTCCAACATCAGCATACCAAGCCAGGAGTCCGGGCTCACCAACTTCATGATCAAACAGGAAGGTGAGAGCTGCTTGTTATCAGTGCCTCAACATTGCCGTGTGGGGAGAAGATGTTGTTTTTATTGTTGTTATTGTAGTACATGAATGCTATTTATTAGTCATTCAACTAATGTTGTTGTTTTTTCTAGCCAAGCACGATGACTGGAAAGTTGCTAAACTGAATGTAAGTGAACTGTTTCTAATTAGACAATCACTTTTTTTAATCAAGATAAATCCTGAACATTATTTTCTAATGTTAAACTTCATAACAGGAACACAAACGTGCCTTTGAGAAGATGTGGCTGGGCTTTCTCAAGTATAAGGTATTCTACACATCTGGATTGCACGTCCAACTGTTTATTTGATTTTTTTATTGAAATGTATTCCCCATACAGATCTATAACTCTGTGCCATCTCGTCTGTCTGTTGCAGTTGCCGAGCAACATGTATAAAAAGATCTTGGTGATCCTCCATGACTCCATTTTACCCCACATGAGTAAACCCACACTGATGATTGACTTCTTGACGGCTGCCTATGACGTTGGTAAGTTGTGTGTGTGACTCAGTAGTGACAGTACTCTTACATCTCCATGTGAAATGACCAGTAACTGCTTTAAAATCACCACGGTGGTGTTTTTTCATTGGATGATGGCTCATAAAGAGGAATTTTGTCATGGATTTGTTGAACAGGTGGGGCTATCAGCCTGCTGGCTCTCAATGGGCTTTTTGTCCTCATACATCAACACAACCTGTGAGTATTTCATGAAAAAAAATTTCTGAATCTATTAAGGCACGACACTAGACTGACACATGTGTTTTAATTGCATACAATACCTGACCATGTGTTGTGTGTGTGTGCTTGCAGAGATTACCCAGATTTCTACAAGAAGCTGTATAATTTGCTTGAGCCCTCTGTTTTCCATGTGAAGTACAGAGCACGCTTTTTCCATCTAGCTAACCTCTTCCTCAGCTCCAGGTAAGAACATTTTAAACCTCTTATAGTTGTGTGCACGTCCTCCTGGAGCACCGGGCCAGCGTACAGTTGATAAGATAATTATGTTTGTAGTGGACCAGCAGTTACTGATTTGGTGCTAAATTTTCCAAGTGAACCGCACCTAAATATTGTTGGCCCAGTAAGTTTAAAGGGAATTTCTATGGAGAACGTGATTATCCGATCCAAGCTGATTCTATGACCACTGAAAGCCACTTGGAACCGCTGTGCCTTCCTCCAGTCACTTGCCGCTGTACCTGGTGGCTGCGTTCGCCAAACGCCTGGCTCGCTTGGCTCTCACAGCACCGCCTACGGCCCTCCTCATCGTGCTGCCCTTCATCTGCAACCTGATCCGGCGCCACCCGTCCTGCAGAGTCCTCGTGCACAAGCCGAGCACACAGGATGGTGAGTGACAGTCACTCTCCTGTTTGCGATCTGTTATTTCATGTGTCTCAACGTGCTGGGGTTTTAGCTGGAGAGGCAGATTCATTACATTGACGCACATTCTGAGGAAGCGTTTCAGGATGAAAGCGGAGGTTTGTTTCTATGCATTTTGACAGAGTCTGTGGAGGACCCGTATCTAATGGAGGAAGAGGATCCTGCTCAGTGCCGCGCCTTGGAGAGCAGCTTGTGGGAGATTAAGGTGTGTACAGCGTGGGATGGTTCCGGATTCACAAATGAATCATCCCAGACATGGTATTAAACAGAGCTATGAAGTGTGTACGGCAAGGGTTTTAACTGGAAAGCGAGAGGAGGGAATGTCACATGCATTCAGGTAACGGAAGCCTACTTCATTTTCAAATATCATCCTCTGGTTTCCTGCAGACACTGCAGAGTCATTACCACCCAGACGTGGCCAAAGCTGCAGGCTCCATCAACACGCCGCTGTCGGGACTAGAGGACGACATCAGCGAGCTGCTGGAAAAAACAACATATGAGGTAATGTGACTTCAACATTAATATTGTCTATTAGTGCATGCGTTAATAAGTGCTAATACTCCTCTTATGCTCGGCCATTTGAGAGGCATCAATAATGTGTCCCACATTCTCGTCCCTAGCTGATGGAGAGAGACCTGAAGCAGACACGGAAGACTGTCCCCCTGGAGTTTGAAACTGCCACACAGTTACTCAAAGGAGGGGGTGATGTGTTAGGACAGCACTTCTGTCTGGGTTAAAAGCAGGAAAAATGACCAACCTGTAATTGGTACAAGTTCTGCATTTATGGGACCAGTTCAGACCGTCTAGCCGCTTGGCCTGGACACAAAGTCTTCTTGTTAAAAGCAGCAGCAGCAATAACATACTTTCATTTAACCTGGAGTTATATTTTTATTGTTTGGTCCATGACAATTAAAGTGTAATTGTTGTCAATCAATAAAAACATTTTCAAATTTCATCGTGAACAAATCTTTCAATTTTTGTATTTTATTTTTATGTTTTTCGGACTGTTAAAAGAAGTTTGTTACAGATTACAGAAAGTTTTCTTTCTTTTTTTTATGAATCCGGAAGAAAATAGCAAGTATCTATAAAGTAGATGCAAGAGATGGTTGAGATTAAGTCCTGTGAAGCTCATTTTTGCCACTTTGCTGTGTTAATAAAATGAATTTGAATAGACCTCTTAACGTGAACTTGAGCTACACGAACACGCCTCTGTCTCCTAACGAGAGGTTATTAACCTCAAGTGCTCTTCTCCATCACTGGTCCAGATTTCATTTTCTCAAGTGCGCCATATGGTCGAGCAGCAGGCAGCCTCGGGTACGAGAACACCGCGAGAGAAAAAATCCTGACTCATAACGGACTTTTGTGGGAAAAGAGCGAGTCATGTCAGGTTAAAGATACTTACAGGCGGGGAGGACATAAGCAGCTTTGAGGACATGCTTCAGCTATGCACATTTTTCATACATGTTTTTTTTTAATGCAGTTTTTGAAACGTATATTTATTTTATTTTGAGGCTTGATCGTTTGTGAGGATTATAAGGCAGACACGTTGGCACAACACACGCAGTCGGGAGGGTGAGAAGTGAACAGAGAAAAAAGGTCACCGTGCAGAGGATGAGAGCAGCCGACCAGCCCACATGGATCCCTAAAGCACAACCCCCCCCCCCCCCTCCTTGCAGAATCTGATGCACTGACAGAAGAGCCTGCTCATATGCTTTAGATACATGCACAGCTTGGAGCATGTCTCCAAAAGCCACTCACGGCTACTTTTTTATTAACCAACATTTTGTTGGGTTTAAAATAATGCATTAATCCCGCAACGGAACTCCACCTGTTTTTGAAAAGTGTACAACGACTATGCTCAGAAGTTACCGGCACGGAATCACAATTGTTTGCGCTCTTCTGTCTTCTTCAAAGAGAAGGGGCGCACTCTTAAGAAGGCAGCAATAACAGGAACCCAATCATAACAGTGATCTGATTGAATAATTAATAGGTAGATGGCAGCGCTGGATAATGAGGCCGTCACAGCACCCTCCTATTACTCTAATAAGTCTGCAGGTTGGTAGATGGTCTGGTAGGAAGGGGGCATTTCTACGAAAGTCTATAGGACCCCTGTGCGCCGTGTGTTGTTGTTGTTGTAGGAAATATAAGCTGCCCGAGGTGAGTCAGCACGGGGAAGCTGTTTGAGCAGTTGGCTGAGGCTTTAGGAGAAGGAGGAAGAGCTGATTCATTAACACTACTTTGTGCAACGATCATCTGTCGTCTTTGTCCATTGGTTGACTCATTGACTTGTTCTTGATAGTATCTAAAATAACTCCTTGAGAATCTTTTTTATTTCTTTTATCTCTGTAATCTCGTTTCTGCAGTGTCTTTGGTTCGTTTATACAACAGACATGCGTTAGTCTAAAAGAAAGTGAGAAGAAATCAGCTGTTTCAGTATCTCTTGTGTTCCAGCAGGCGTCAGATCTCCTGAAGCAGCATCAAGCCTCTCCATGTGTCACTGGATTGTACTTTCCGGGAATAAAGTGCACGCGTGTGTGTGTGCAAAAGTACAAAGATGGGGATTCAGCGATGACTGATACCATCTTTTGTTTTTTTTCCATGCTCCCCCCTGTCCTTGTGTTGCTGTGATACAGTAATCCTCTGTTACGTAACTGAGTGGCGTACTCTCCCTATCTCTCTCACTCAGCGCACACACTCACGCACACACATACGGGGTCACACACGTACACAACAATCACTGCCCTCAGCACCTGCAAATGCATGTAGACGTATTGGGGCAGGGGACAGCACTGGTTGATTGGACATTGTTGCTCTCAAGGGATCGATCACAGACTTGTGACAAACCAGTTTATGTTTTGAAGAAGAAGAAGAGTTATGAAAGTCTTCCATTACTTATATTGTTTGTTTGTATCTTTTGGGTCACCTTGGATTGGGTAAATTGTTATAGTTAAAGAGTCATTACATCATCCAAAGACAGCTCGCCATGATTGCTGCCAGAAACGTGCAGCATCACCACCTGCACACCTAAAGGGCGAGGTAGACCGCGGTACCACGTTGCTACAACATGAAAACACTAGCAGGAGGGGGGGGTTTGCCCACTAATCTCGTCTGTAAGGATTTATACTCCTGCTCACGATAAAATGATCCTGTTACTCCCACAAAACAGACCTCCGTTATTAGCCCACTTGGAGGGGCAAAATCTGAGGATGAAGCACCACATTCGTTCTGCACCTAATCTGCTAGATCTTAATGACATCGTTGTGACGCAACATTTGATGACGCGTTTAGACTTTCCTCTGCTTGTGGTGATGGACGTGGAGTTTGTCAACCACCTTTTCCATAACAATTTTTACTATGCAGATGATGATCTTTGCAAGCGCATTAATGAGTAATACCAACACAATCTTCAACCTAAAATATTAGGTTGATTAAACCATGTTTAATCTTATTCCAGCTCCTCCATCCTTAACATTTGAAAGAGTTTTATGTTTTTGTTTGTGAATTCATAGTTCTTAATAATCCTTAACTGTATATAAACCCTAAACAATGAACAACTGTCTGCTGCCGTGTCTTTTTAAATCTTTAAACCACACACCAAACATTAAAAGTTGAGAAAAAAGCCAGCCCACATCATGCTGTAAAGATGGCAGCTTGTTGGGTTGTTGAATGACACGTCGCCTTTGGCTATTGCATATTTAAAGGGCTCACTTCATAGTTTCTGCCCAACCCAGTTTGCATCTGTTGTACCCTGGTCTCTCAGGGCTTTGTGTCATGCGCAAAAAAAGCGATCGACTGCGAGTGCAGCGATGCGTCTATACAGGAAGGATGGAAACAGACAGTGAGCGAGCGTTGCTAGGCAACAGAGTGGAACAAAGAGGCATACGCTGCTTTCTCCTCTCACTCACGCACTCTCAGTGTCTCCTCCTTTCCGTCCTCTCCTCCGCCCAGAGGACGCCTATCAACAGAATACATCGAGAGCCCGGCGCTGAAACAACCGGCATGACTCACTTTCAGCCCCGTGATCAGGGATTTAGAAGATGTGATGGGAGCAAATGGGTGGTTTGATCTGATGTCTACGCAGGAACAAGTGTAGATTTCATTTGATGCTAAAGGGAAGTTACAAGAAGTAATACAGAGCAAATGCTAAACATAGTAATATATATGTATATATATATATATATATATATATATATATATATATATATATGCATTGTTGCTTCTGTCAGAACAAGTGAAGCATTATCTTCTGCCTCATAGACAGATTCAGAGGAGACAAGGATGCTGGACCGCAGGGGCGTTTCTAGGATTAAAAGGGGGAGGGGCTTAGCCCCAGGGGGAGTGGCATGTTTGCATTTATATATAATAACTTCCCATGTAATAAACAGTAGAATTTAATGATAACACACAAAAAAAGACTTTCTCTTTTTTTAAAGAGCTGAAGAAGATTCAAGCCCCCCCCCCCAAAAAAATAGGCCTAACGTTAACTGATGGACCATGATCTTCTCTGCCTGGGGACAATCTATTCAAAGAGAAAATGCTCATATATGATGTAATGGGTCACACATCGCTGCTCAACAGATTAGCAAAGTCCTTCTAAACTACAGCTGACCCGCGCCGTCGTTTTCTTTTCTCTTTTTTTTGCAGCAAAACATGCGAGGAAGGGATTTTAAAGCGCGAGAGGAAGCGTTAACGCGTCGTGTGCGTGTGTGACTCTCTGTTTCTTTCCTTTCTGTTCTTTTCACTGCTCGGCTGAGACCTTGCAGCGTGTTCCGGAGGCACTCAGTCGGAACAGCGATGCTCGTGGAGCCGCAGAGCCGACGCGCGCACGCACGCACGCACGCGCTCGCGCAACCGTCAAACACGTGACACACGCGCCCACGCCTCACCTCTGCCTCCGCGTGCCAGTCTGCGATGGGACGGGAAGACATGTCATTTTGTGGACATTAGCTGGTACTGCTTTCAAGGTAGGGGACATTGTCAACGTGCACATCCCTGTAAACGTATACGGGTGTCTGCTTTTCCACCCCCCCCCCCCCCCCTTTTTTTTAAAAGAGGCCTGTTTGACACTTTAAAACACCTCAAAACACACACGTTATGTGCTGACTGCTGCTGGAGGTTTAATCCCGGCTGTGAAACACATGCGTCCTCCTCACTACGCGCTGGTGGATGAGACTGAAGGATTTCTCTCCCGAGGAGCATCCTGTGTCTTTGGTGCAGGTATTTCACTCACACACCAGATGGCGATGTCGCAGTCTCTTTAAATCCCACGCCCGTCAAAGAGAGATTACCTTTTTTTGGGGGGGGGGGTCTTTGTGGGTCGGTTGGCTGAGCGCACTCCACTTAACCATCAATGGCCTTGGTTCAATGCCCAGCTACCTCGTGCTGTTTCACTAATCCATTCTCACCAACATAAGTCAACCGACTATTACATAATTGTAGGCTGTAACATCTTAATAGCAACCTACATTGTGTGCTTTGCTTAATAAACATTTAGCCCAGTTAGTAGGTTTATTGAGCAACATGTGGGTACGTTTTCTTCTGAATTTTGAGATAAGACACATCAAGAGCACGGCTTTAGGCCGACGAAGTCCACTTGATGTTTCCTTTGTGCTGTCTCAGTCCTGTCTTCCCACCAGTCAAAACTTAATCTATTGTTCATGTCATCTTTGACCTTTGCCTGACCTCTTGAGATGGACTAGCTCTATTTAATATCAAAAATCAAGCTTGGCTTGAATAATCGCAGCTTTTGATACATTGTAACAGATTTGTATTTTTATTCTTTCTATTCTTTCAGAGATTTAGTGCAACAATGTTGCATTCCACGCATTGTCAGTCTACTTATTCAAACCCAATTCCTATCATAGCCATCCTCAGTGGTCTATTGAAGACGGACAGAAAAGGCAGCGAACCGCTGTCCCGTCATAATGACTGAATTAATAAATGCTAAATAATTGCAATGCATGCGATGCGATGTGCCATTTTGCCCGTCCACACGTGAAAAGGCCGGCATTGAGGAAGTGTGCGAGGCGGCCGCCCTTTGGGAATAAATTGCAGGGCCCTGAAAGTGTCTCTTCACCTTTCAGGGCCCTCCCCATGCCGGCTCACAGCTCACGAGTGCGTCACGCTTCTCGACTCTGACGCAGCTCCTGTCAGAGCAGCTTTGGCAGCTCCCTCGGTACGAGGATGATTTCTCCTCCGAGAGGAGGGCAAAGCTTGGGACTGGTGTAGTCACAACCGCTGTTGTCTGCATGACTGACTGACATGGGGACTGAACTAATCATGTCTCAATTAGATGTCTCAACCTGGCATCGCTACGTGTCGATGAGAACCAGTGATCTGCTACAGGGACCAGGCAGCGATTCTTTTCATGATTTTTCGTTAAGAACCAAGAAGCTGCTTTTTCAGATTCCGATTTTTTCACTTTTTCCGGTCTAATTACATAACTCATGAATCAGTTCTCACATAGATGTCCATATGGCCTAATATCTCACTCTAAATAGGCGGACCGAACGTGTTAGTCTGTCTGTCTGTTTGGAAAACACACAGTACTGGTTGGCGGGTGTATTATTCTGTCTGCTCTTGGACAGTCCGGCATATTACACTGGTAGGTCCATCTGCAGGCTTGTCTGCTGGGCAGATCTGCTGTATTAGCAGGTGTATCTGGCTGTCCTCCTGTCTGCTTGGCAGGTCCCCTCCTACTGGCTTTGGTAGCTTTGGCTTTTATCTGTTAGCTGACATTTTGCACCGCACATTGTGATGATAGTCCACCTTGCAGCCGGGGAATCAGGTTACTACTTTTGTGTTAGTTCTTTTGTGTGCCTTACAAAATGCCAAATGCTCAGTTAACACGCCAATTGATATATTGGAGTCATGTTTGTCAGTATTCTAACCATCTGTTTGGTGTGTTCTGTGGGTTACTAGAATTGGAATATATTTTCATCCACTAATCCAATAATTCTCCAAGTGGTAATTTAAAAAGATAAAGAAAAAAGTGAACAGACGTAGATATATTTTGTCTAGGGTGGTAATGTGGTAATGGCTGGCTAAGTGTGCTATTTACAGGGGGCAAATTGGAAGAATACACCCCATTTGGGATTTAATGATTGTAGCTTTCCACAATGTTCCCATTTCATACTTTTACAGGACTAAAAGTAGATATAATGGAGCAGAGCATCAAATCTGGTTTTAGAGTTCTATCGTCTGACACCAAATGGCAAAAGGCATCCTCACTTCCTTGGAAGGGGTTTAACTTCAGGAGGCCCGTGCAGAGTTTACATGCGCTTTCTCCAAATCAGCTTTCCCCTTACCTCTGCCAAACAGCTGCTCGGTTCCCCGACTATCTGCAGCCCTTCTGCTGGCATCAAAGTCAGTGGAAAATTTAAAAAGTACAAGAATTTCAGCAGAGCAGTTCTTTTCCAGAAGAAGACAATTGTTAACCCAATAACGCACTATCAAATTGTACACATGGAGGTCTGGCGCGAACGAAAGCTGAGCAACACGAGAAACTATTCACTACTCCAATCTGCCTATTACAGATATGCAGTTTATTTCCATGGAAGGTCCAAGCGTCAGAGGGAAAATTCACTTTCAAAGGCCGTTTTAATCCATCAAGAAAACTTCTAAGGAGAAAAACACTGACTGGCAAATCCTGCAGAGGCTCAGAACCTGTTGCTGTAGCAGCTTCATTTTCAGGCCTGGTAATCCTTTTCCCGTGACTGACCCCACAGGATGGAACCGAAGCCGGGGGACGTCGCTGTAAGCAAGATTGACAGCAGCCTCATGATTCCATAACTTAAATGCATCAAGTGCTGCGTCCTCCTCATGTATACTTTTTATACCCACTCTGGTGTACAGGTGGATGGCTCTAAATTTCTCAACAATATTGGATGGATGGCAATGTGGTTTGGTACAAGTATCCACAGTGCCCAGATGAGGTATCCTAATGATTTTGCTAACTCCTCTGGGCTTTCTCTGTAGTTTCACCAGCAGGTCAAAGTATTCATTTACAGAGCTGCCAACTTTTCAAAAAACCTTAGAGTGAGATTTTGTCGGGGGTGACCAAAATTTTGCCGCGCACGCAGCCACACACGTTGGTGGCTCAAATATCAGGAAATTGGAATTCATTTGGCGTAGTACCCATGTTGTACCCTGCATTCTGGTGGTTTGTGGGGCCCAAAGTCGTTGATAGGGGCGGCCTACTGGAGATGGACAACATTGGTTACATTCTGTGAAGCAAAGACATAGCTGATGGTCCACCCCCAGGACATTTTGGTTTAAGTAGATGTTATTTCATGCATTCTCGTGGATTTTTGGGTGGTATGCCTGAACTTATTCTGATTTATGTTCATCTGCTCATGACTTGTTGGGCCTTCTAGACTTGAGCTGAACATTCAACCAGAAAACTATTGCTGTGCCTCAATGACTGTCTATGTACCACAATATAGCCTAATTAATAGACCTGTGTTTAAGATTAGACCAATTTAGGTTGATTGACATTTTGATTACAATGGTAATTCAACTAATTCTTAACTGAAACCTAACCTATATTGTTATAAATCGTATTCCTTAAGAGCACCTAATGATTTATTGTTCAGCAAAAAATGGCCCAGTTTAGTTAGGGCAAAAATATTTTTCACTATCCAAACAAAAATGTGAACTAATAAATGTGCTTAAAAGGGCTAAAAA